CCCGCCGGGATCAAAAGCCCCGCCAAACCTCCATCTCGCCAGGAAAGGCGGGAGGAGCAGGGGTGACCATCTCCTGGCCCTCCAGCCAAAGGCCCGAGGAACAGGAGGAAGGGTGCAGGAGGAAATGGACAAGGGTGAACCCTTCCTTCCCAAGACCTGGGGCAGCCTATCCTAGAGGATCAGCCCACAACCAGATTGGGAAGAGGGAACAGAGAAGATCTAAACTAGGTCTAGGGAGACCCACGCCCCCAGCCAGGGGTGGGGGAGGTGGACAACGTTGCTTTAGGATATGCTAGGCCGCACCCCACGTCACCTCCTCCGGGCAGAAGTGCACATCCTGGACAGGGGGAGGTAGCACACGGCCTTTAATCCCAGCACTCAAGACACAGAGGCAGAAGGATTTCTGTGAGTTCGAGGCCAGCCTGGTCTACAGAGCGAGTTCCAGGACGGTCAGGGCTACACAGTGATACCCAGTCTTTCTAAAACACAAGCCCACCTCCCTCTAGGCGAGGCATAAAGGCCTGTGTGCCTAACGGGAGCGCATGGGGGAGGGGGATCGGGAAGCAGAAGGATGCCCGAGTTGGGAGGATGCTTTTGTGCACTTTATCAGGACCCAAAAGGGGGACATGTCCCCAACTCACCCTGGCGCGTGGACACGTTCCTCTCGTTGGCCGCCTGCAGCACCACCTGAGCGCAGCTCTGTTCCAGGGCGAAGAGCTCATCTTTACCCACCTTGGTGGCCTTGCCAGCCTTGAGGGTGCCACTGGGCCCGGACGGGGCCAGGTAGCGACCTTCGCAATCGCGAAAGGCCACCTTGCCGGAGCGGAACTCGAGAGTGTAGCCCGTGGCTGGCTCGGGCCGCGCCACTAGGCGCCCGTCGTGGCGCAGGAAGCGGTGGTCCGACGTCTGCACGCTGTAGCGCTGGTCCTGGAAGGCCAAGGTGATAAGCGAGTCGACGCCCCAAGGCACGTCGCGATCCACCGCGATCTCGTCGGCCGGACGCGCGCTCAGATGCGCGTAGCGCTTGCGGGTGACGCTGTAGATGTTGACCTGTGGGTGCATGGCGATGTGCACGCTCCATTTCTCTGCCGGCGACACGCTCTGCGCGAAGCACGACAGGCGGTCCTCGGTGCCGCCGAAGTAGCGCCGGTGCGCCTCGGACTGCAGCGACCAGCGGCCGTCGTCGTGCGCCACGACGATGAAGCGGCAGTCGGCGCTGGGCACCTCGCGCTCGCAGGTCACGTTGCCGTCCTTGTCGGCGGCCAGGTAGCGGCCCAGGTGGCTGCGCAGACACACAGCCGCACTGCCCGCCTCATCGGGAGGCTGCTCCAGCGTCCAGATCTGCTTCTTCTTCAAGCTACTAGCGGACGCGTTCACCTTGAAGCCGAACGCCTCGGCTGTCAGGTACTTGTTGCCGCAGCTGATGAGCCCGAACTGGATCTGCACCGCCTCGGCTGTGCCGTTGGCGGTCATGGTGGCGGAGGGCGGCCCAGTGGCCCCGGGAGCTTGGGTGGCTGCGCCCGACCTCCTTTGTTCAGCAGCACAGCTTAGCCCGCTGCAGCGCTCCACAAAGCCAGACCGGCGGCGCCCTGGGTTTTATATGCGGGTGACGTCACTTTGTTAGGCCACGCCCCTGTCCGTCCTGCCAGGGGAGGGGGCTCTGCAGTGCGCGCCGGGGCCTCTGCGCTTCTCCTGAGGGTTTTTCTGGGTTTTAAGACAGGCTCTCACTCTGTAGCCCGGACTGGCCTTGAAGTCGCTGTATAGCTCAGACTGGACTCGAACTCTTAGCAATTCTGCCTCTGGCTCGTGCTGGTTGGCTAGTCCAATTAACTGCCCCTCCACTAGCGTCCTCTTCAGTATTTGGATGATCCCCAACTTTCTCCTGCTCTCTGGGGCTCCCCTGGAGCACCCCACCCCCAAACCTAGCAGATGGGAAGGATCAGCCAGGTTTAAGGTAATGATACGCTCCGGATGGAGGGAGGGGTCCAGGGAGCACCAGGAAGTAGCTTTAGCGCTGTTCCTTGAAGAGGCCAGAGACACCGGAAGACACAGGCTGGAAACAGAGGATCCTGGGGTAGAACAGAGGTTGGACTCAGCAAGGAGCATACAGAGCTCTACCCGCCCGCCTCAGGGTTTCTCAGGGCCTGTTCTATTCCAGGACCAGTGTAGAGTACAGCCACCCTGTGGCACAAGTCAGTGACCAGCATTCCCACTCTGGTGATGCTAAAACCCTGGGCTGCTGGTCGACCAGGAAGCCGGGTAGGTAAGGCAGAGATTGCAGTCTGTTTACGAGGAAGATCCAAAAAACAGGACAACTGGCTGGCATGGCACAGCCCCAGTGTGATTCTGACTGCACCCCCTCTGATTCCAGACCAGAGGGGCATTCCCACCAAACACCACCTCCCACCACCCACCACCCCATGTAAGAACACTTCCCTTTGAGTTTCTGGAAGACTGAAACTTCTAGGACATTCCCCACATGCCAGGCAGGCCCCTGGAATGCTGGCTCTACCACAGGCTGCCCACAAGATCTGAGCCCTCTGGCCCTGCCCAGCCACAGGCTGACCAGTCCTTAGGGTGATCTGTGTCCAAACAGATCCCTGTCCCAGGCAGTTCCTTCTAGGGACTATCAAAGAAGAAGGGTAGAGAAGCCCCTAGCAATCCTTGCTGGGAAATCCCTTAGAGGTCATGGAAAAGGTCACCAAGAACTAGGTCAATGCCCAGCCACCCTCTCTGGCCGTGTGACTTTGGACAGATTACTTAGACTCTCTGAGCTTTCCCTTTTCTGTAGTAAATATATATATTCTTGGGTACAGTGACTTATACATGTAATCCCAGAACTTGAGAGACAGAGGCAGGAGGATTGCTACAAGTTCAAGGCCAGCCTTGGGGAAGCAAGTCAGAAGACTGAAAGCAGTAACACCCAAAACTCTATACTGAGGGGTGCCTGGGATCTAGTACTCTGTTCAAACCTGTTTAACCCAGGAGCATCTCGGGCAGACTTGGACAAGTTAGCCTCATTACACATCAGGCAGTTAAGCCAATGTCTGATATGTGTCAGGGCTCCATAAATGCTAGCTATTGATTAGTCATTTACCATCAGGTCAGGACATGGGTGCATTCACCATCAGTCCCAAGCTTTAGGCTCAGGTTGTGGGGGATGGCTGGGTGTGGGGTGCAAACCTGTAACCTTAGCACATCAGAGGATCAGGAACCAGGATCAGCAGTAAAAGGTCATCGTAGGCTACATATGGAACTCCAGGCCAGCGTGAACTATATGAAACTTTGCCTCAAAAACCCAAAGTGGGGGGCTGGAGAGATGGCTCAGCAGTTAAAAGCACTGGCTGCTTTTCCAGCGGACCTAGATTCAACTCCCAGCACCCACATGGCTGCTCTCAACTGACTGTAACTCCATCTCCAGGGGTTATGACACTGTCACATCAATGCACGTAAAAATAAAATTAAATAAAAATTTAAAAAAGATTAATTAAAAAAAAAGTTGGGAGCTAGAGCAAAGGCTCTGAGGACAAAAGTATTCTGAATTCAGTCTCCAGGACCCTCCTGGTAGAAGGAGAAAACCAACTCCCTCAAGTTGTCCTCTGACTTTACCCCCTTGCACTGTGCTACACAAATGCCCCCCCCCATACATACATTCAGGCACACACAGGTAAGTGGAAAAAACTGGCCTGGGGAAATGCCTCAATAGGCAGAGTTCAGATTGTGCAAGCATAAGAATAAAGTTCAGGCCTGACTGGGTGTTGGTGGCGCACACCTTTAGCCCCAGCACTCGGGAGGCAGAGGCAGGCGGATCTCTGTGAGTTTAAGACCAGCCTGGGCCAAAAGAGCTAGTTCCAAGACAGCCTCCAAAGCTACACAGAGAAACCCTGTCTCGAAACCTGCCCCCCCCCAAAAAAAAGAATCTTAATAAGATGGAGGAACCAGCAAGATGTCTCTGCAGGTAAAGGTCTTTGTCTCCAAGCCTGAAGACCTAAATTGGCTCCTTAAGACCCATATACTGAAAGAAAAGAACTGACTTCTATAATTTGTCTTCTGCCCTCCACGCATTCAGTGCCCACAGACATTCACACACAAAAAAATAAAAATAAGGTGGAGAGCAATTGAGAAAGACCAACATCAACATCTGGTCTGCACTCACATGCACACGCTTGCTTGCATGCACGCTCACATACACTTGCGCACACACATGCACAGATGTACAAGCACACACACACACACACACACACACACACACACACACACACAATCAGAGTGGGAAGGAGACCACAGAGAGGATCCTTGGGTTTCCCCTTAGGGCAAGGCAGGTCCTGCACTCAGAATAGTGGCTTAAATGTTGGGGGAAATCCATCTGGCCCTGGATGAGGTCATCTGTGGAGAATTGAGGTTCATTTCAGCAGAACCAAAGCCTTAATTGTCATCATTTCATGTGCCATCCCTGGGAACAGACAATACATCTACAGCTGCATAGTTCAAATATAAATGAGGAAACAACTTTTCACCGCCCCATTCCCACCCCACCCTCTCCACCACCAGGTACAGATCCTTGCTTGTGTTTTTCTTTAAATGAGACAAGCAAACATGAATGTATATTCAACTCCTCTGATAATTTCATTTGTTTTGTGATATTTTCAATGAAAGCCATGGCCTTTTGCATGTTAGGTGAGCAGTCTGTTACTGAGCCACACCCCAGCCCCTCACTGGGGGACTCTAGGCAGCTGCCCTACCACTGAGTCACACCCCAGCCCCTCACTGGGGGATTCTAGGCAGGTGCTCTACCACTGATCCACACCCCAGCCCCTCACTGGGGGATTCTAGGTGATCACTCTGCAGCTGAGTTACCACCTTATGTTGTTTTGTTTCTTTGATTTTGGTTTCATGAGAAAGACTCTTATATAGCCTAAGATGTATACCAACTCCTGATCCCCAGCTATGTGGTCATTTGCTATTTGTTTTGTCTTTTCTCATCTCCTCCTCCTCTTTCTCTTCCTCCTCTTCTATTTTTTTTTCTTTTTTTGAGACAGAGTTTTGCTATGTAGCCTCAGATGGCCCCAAACTCACAGACCAAAGGTATGTGCCACCATGCCTGGCCATACCTGTTTTTTTCCTTGGGTTCCAGGGATGGGATTCAGGTTCTTGTGTTTGTAATGTAAGCACTTACTGTCCCTTCAGCCCCACTTTTACTTTACATGTCTTACTACATATTCTTTGTTAAAAATAGTAGCTTCCACCTGGATAGTGGTGGCTCAGGCCTTTAATCCCAGCACTCAGGAGACTGAGGCAGGCAGATCTCCGCGAGCTCACGGCCAGCCTGATCTACAGAGCAAGTTCCAAGACAGGCTCCAAAGCTACACAGAGAAACCTGGTCTCAGGAGAAAAAAAAAGTCTCTTCGTCATTCCTTTTCAATACAACATAATATTCAGTTGCATACAGTTAGCTTATGTGAACCAGACCGCCCTAACAGTTAACCCTTTAATACTAATCCCAATGTTTTTCACTTTTCTTTGCCTGGATCTGTAACACACACACACACACAGAGGCACACACACATGAGACCAGTTATATGTTTTCAGATTGATTGCCTCTGCCTCTGGTGACAGGGAGGCCCCTTTAAGCTCTCTCTGAGCTATTGTTGGTGATACATAAGCATTTGCTCTAGCTTCGGTGAAGGCTTGGGGGCGAGTTCTCCCAGGTTAGCTCCTGGGGCAGAGGATGGATGTCCTTGTGAACTGAGAATTCCGCAGTTTTGGCTGGATCTTGTAACCACTGAGCTTTGTGCAGGGGCTGTTATTATTGTTGTTGCTGCTGTCTCCCTGTTGTAGGCAAATTCAGTAAGAGTCACACTGAGCTCTGTCCTGCTCTATGCCCACCTTCCTAAGTGTCCCTGACCCTGGCACCTGTGTCCTGCAAGGGATGAGCTAGCCCTGTACACATCACGAGGTCTTCCCTTCAGCCCCACCTCAGGTCCCTCTGGGGAAAGATGGGGACATGGACACTGTGTCCCTGGGCCCCATGGGGAACCAAGTGCCACCTGATCCTTGCTAGGATGAGGGCACAGCACAAAACAGAAGCACTTAACAGAGTCGCTCCTGGCTGGATGCTGTGCCCTGCACTTGCTCCAGACAGGGATTAAGGCCACAGGGACAGGCTGCCCTGTTCCCTGACACCTACCTTGTACTTAATTCCCTGAGGGAGGATGCTTGGGAGGTCTGCAGAGTCCCCAAGATCCCTGCAAAGCAGGGACCCCCAGAGGCCCAGCAGTGACTCCCTGGGCTGCACAGCACCCATCTCCATGATGTCGCAGTATTTTTTTTCCTATGCTGATTCTTTGTGACAGAGCACATGTAGCCCAGTCTAGCCTCAAATTTACTATGTAGCTGAGGATGACCTTGAACTCCTGATCCTCCTGCCTCTACCTCCTGAGTGCTGAGATGGTAGGCATGCATCACCACACCCAGCTCCCTGTGGTTCCAGGCTGTAGTTTGAATGGCACCCCCTTACCACCTCAACTTTGCAGTCTCTCACCTCCTGGCTTTCCTGGAAATCTCATTCACACTTTCCCAGGAACTCGGGAACTGGAGGAGCAAGGCAGGGTCCAACCTTCCATGCTCTGGTAGTCGCAGAAGGCCTGGCCCTGAGAGGCTGTCAGCAGATCTGCTCAGTGGAGCTCCTCACAGCTGTGTGTGATCTTGTCCTAGCTGAACCTCAGTTTCCCTGGTCTCAATAGGACATCAGTGCTGGGCAGCTGTAGGGAAGTCGAGGCAGGAAGATTGCCACCTACCAAAAGAGACCTTTGCTCAAACAACCTCCCTCCCCCAAGCATGACAGCACAGACCTGAAATCCCAGCACCTGATAGGCACAAACAAGAAATTGAGACGTTGCAAGCAAGCCTTGACTACGTTGTGCATTGAAGGCCAGCCTTGGCTACATAAGACCCTATTTCAAAAGAGCAAATAATACAGCCAACGAGGTGGCCCAACAGGTAAAAGCTCTTGCTACCACCCACTGGGCGGTAGTGGTGCATGCCTTTAATCCCAGCACTCCGTGAGTTCAAGACCAGCCTAGTCTACAAAGCTAGTTCTAGGACAGGTTCCAAAGCTACACAGAGAAACCCTGTCTTGAAAAAAACAAACCAAAAAAAAAAAGCACTTGCCACCAGGCTTGATGACCTCAGTTCCTAGGACCCATATGGTAAAAGGAGAGAACTGATTCCCACAGGTTGTCCTCTGACCCCCACACACAGCACCATGGCACACATGCCCACACACAAATAAATAAGACTGTAAAAGAAAACATTGAATACAGCTAAGGATGTGGCTCAAATGTTAGTGAAATCCTGGGTTCTGCCTGAATTACCTCATAAACCAGGCAAGGCAGGGCAAATCTGTGACCCTAGCACTCAAGAGGTAGTGACAGGAGGGTCTGAAGTTCAAGACCATCCTCTGCTATGAATAGTGTTAAGGCTGGTGGGTCTACATGAAAGCCTTCTTCAGGTAGCTAATTAGATGAATAGATAGATAGATAGATAGATAGATAGATAGATAGATAGATACAGAGAGATAGGGATAGATATGGATGAATAGGTTGATTTTGATAAATGGTAGATAGATATAAATATATTGATAAATGATATAGATAGCTTGATAGATGATGATGATGAAGATAGATAAATAGATAGCTAGATAGATATGGATAGGCAGATAGAAAGAGGAGGTAGGGATAAATAGATATGGATAGGGCCGGGCACTAATCCCAGAACTCGGGAGGCAGAGGCAGGTGGATCTTTGTGAGTTCAAAGCTAGCCTTGTCTACAAAGCTACACAGAAAATCCCTGTCTCAAAAAATAATGTATATATACACGTATGAATAGGTAGACAGAGAGAGATTGATAGATGCTAGATATAGATAGACTAATAAATGATAGAGATAGATAGGTACCTGAACACACAGAGATCACTGTAGCTGGCTAGACAGCTCAGAATTAGCTTCCGTGCAAACCACACAGCCGTCTGTGGTTCAAGCCCTCAATAAAGGGGCAGCCTCGTGAACCAGAGGCCATGAATAGCTTCTTTGTGGCTCTGTGGTCACCTGCTCCGAGGGCCCCTCGAAGCAGCCTGGCACCACTGGCGCTACTTGCCTGTCAGAGTCTAGGAAGTGGGAGGGGCCAATGCTAGGACCACACTCCAGCCTGGATGAGTCCCCAGCTGGGCTTTGCCCCCAGGCCCTGAGCCACACCAGGCCTGCTGCCTTTGACCAGGAGGGCAGGCCAGGCTGTCACCTACCATTGCTTTGTCTCCATCAACACCCGAGATGCTCTTCGCCTTCAAGGAAACTGAACACAACAGGATCTGACCCACAGTTTTCTGGTCTGGTGGCTCTTAGAAAATATGGGTTTGGGGAGCTGTAAACATGGTTTGGCAGTTAAGGGTACTGTCTGCCCTTCCAGAGGTTCCAAGTTCAGTTTCCAGCACCCACACAGTGGCTCACAGTCTTCTGCAACTCCAGTTCTAGGGGATTCAATGCCTTCATCTGTCCTCCAAGGGTACCAGGAATGTATGTGACACACAGACATGCATGTGGGCAAAAAACCCATACACATAAAATAAGTTAAACAAAATCCGGTTTTGAGCTGGGCGTTGGCGGCTTACGCCTTTAATCCCAACACTCCTGAAGTAGAGGTAGGCAGATCTCTGTGAGTTCGAGGCCAGCCTGGTCTACAAGAGCTAGTTCCAGGACAGCCTCCAAAGCCACAGAGAAACCCTGTCTCAAAAAACCAAAAAAAAAAAAAAAAAAAAAGTGGTTTTGTTTTTGTAATGTTTTTGCTTGCTGTGGTATGTGTGTGTGTGTGTGTGTGTGTGTGTGTGTGTGTGTGGTGAACACTTTTTTTGCACATGCATGTGGAGGTGGAGGCTGTAGGTCAGCCTTGAGTGTCCTTCCTTGGGACATCTGCTGGTGTTTATTTAGACAGGATGTCTCCCCAAAACCTAGAGCTCACAGATTAGACTAGACAGGCTAATGAACCCATAGATTCATTCACCTGCCTCTGCTTACCCAGGGCTGGGATTACAAGCACATCTACCCATACCCAGCCCCCAACACCCCAAGTCAGGGTTTCTCTGTGTAACCCTGGCTGGAACTCACTCTGGAGACCAGGCTGGCCTCAAATGCACAGAGATCTGCCTGCCTCTGCCTCTGGAGTGGGTGCACCACCACACTTGGCTTCATATCCAGCTTTTTTTACTTGAGATCTGGGGATAAAACACAGGTCCTCATAATTGCTCAGCAAGTATTTTGCTGGCTGTTTTCACAGCCCCTAGGTCTTTTTGAGACAGAATCTCATGTAACCCAAGTTGGCCTTAAACCTGTCTGCGATCACCCTCCTGCTTCAGCCTCCTGAGTGCTGGGATGATAGGGATGAGCCTATAGCTGACTTTCTTAGCAGAACTGAATAGACAAACTGTGACCTTCCTTCCACGTGGGTCCTAAAATGCCCCCATCTAAGGTAGGCACCGAACCTGCCCGGTGGCCCCAGTTAGAATCAGGAGACTGGGCCTGGAGAGATGGCTCAGAGGTTAAGAGCATTGACTGGCTGCTCTTCCAGAGGTCCTGAGTTCAATTCCCAGCAACCACATGGTGGCTCACAGCCATCTATCATAAGATCTGGTGCCCTCTTCTGGTGTGCAGGCAAATATGCAGACAGAACACTGTATATGGAATAAAAATAAGTAAATAAATTAAAAAAAAAATCAGGAGACTGTCCCAGCCAAGGGTGTGATCACCGTGAAAGTCCATATCAGCTGGATGTGTAGCACACACCTGTCATCCGAGTACTCAGGAGACTGAGGCAGGGGGACAGGAAGGAGGAAGCCAGCCAGAACCTGTCACCAGGCACTCCAAGAAGGGGTGGGGAAGAGGCTGGGTTAGTGGAGTGTTTACCAAGCATCTGGGAAACAAGCCTGGGGTTCCATTCCCAGCACTACATAAACCAGTAATGATGGCCAGGCAGTGGTGGCGCACGCCTTTAATCCCAGCACTCCGGAGACAGAGGCAGGCGGATCTCTGTGAGTTCAAGGCCAGCCTCTACAAGAGTTAGTCCCAGGATATCCAGAGCTACGCAGAGAAACCCTGTCTCAAAAAAACAAAAACAAAACAAAACAAGAAACCAACCAGGAATGATGCGGGCCTGTTGTCCCACCACTTGGAGTTCTAGGTCAAGGTCTTGGCTAGCCTGGACTACATGAGACCCTATCTTAAAAATAAATAAAGGGAGGGGGGCTGGAGAGGTGGCTCAGAGGTTAAGAGCCCTAGCTGTTTCTTCCAGAGGTCTTGAGTTCTATTCCCAAAAAGCACATGGTGGCTCACAACCATCTATGATGAGGATTGGTTCCCTCTTCTGGCATGTACATGCCAGAATACTGCATGAAAGGTTCAGGCATTAGGCTGGCCTGCCCCTGTTACCTGGTGGAACAGGCAGTACCCTGGTCAGCCCAAGGTTCCACGGGAACTAAGTCTGCACGCAGGTGCAGAGGACCCCTTTAAAAAGACAGATCCCTGCCCATTTACTCTTTCTCTTCCTCTCGGCTTCCTCTCTACTCTCTCTCTCACCTATGTTCTCTCTCTGTCTCTCTGTGGCAACCAGCCATGGTGGTCAGCCATTTACCCCTGTTCCTCTTCTTAGTCTCTCTACTCTGCCGGGCCTCATAATAAACTTATAGTCAACATGTCTCATGTCTCAGCATTTCTCTTTTCTTCTTTTTAAATAAAAGAATAACACTGTATACATAATAAATAAGTCTTAAGAGGAAGGAAGGAAGGAAGGAAGGAAGGAAGGAAGGAAGGAAGGAAGGAAGGAAGGAAGAAGCCAGGCAGTGGTAGAACACACCTTTAGTCCTAGCATTAGAGAGGCAGAGGCAGGCAGATCTCTGAGTGTAAGGCCAACCTGGTCTACAGACAGCTAGGGCAACATAGAGAAACTGTCTCAAAAAACCAAATATACATAGATAGGGGCCAAAGGGTGGAAGCAGCCTATAACCTATTCCTGAAATCTTTTTGCTTCATGTTTGTTTGAAACAGGGTCTATCTCAAGCTTGCTTCCAAGTCTTGATCCTCCTGCCTCCACCTCCCCAGTGTTAGCAGTGCAAGGTGTATTGCCATGTCCAGCATTTTGTTGTTGTCATTGCTTTTAAGATTTATTTCATTTTTTATTTTTATTTTTATTATTTTTTGTTTATTTTATTTTTATTTATGGTGTGTGTTTGTGTGTGTGCATGTGTGTGAGTGTAGGGGCCTCAGAAACCAGAAGAGGGTGTTGGTTGGAGCGCCTGGAACTGGAGTTACATATAGTTATGAGCCACCAAGTTGTGGATGCTAGGAATCAAACCTGGGCCCTCTACAAGAGTAGCAACCACTGAGACATCTTTCCCAGTCCTGCCAGCATTTTCGGGGGAAGTATGTAGACATAGGATCCCCCAATTAGCCCAGGCTGGCTTCAAATTATCAGCTATCCTCCTGCCTCAAGTTCTAAGATTGCAGGTGTGCCCCATCATGCACAATTTCTAAGTTACAGTTTCCGTGGGAGAAACCTGGGCTGGCCCCAGGAGCCAGCCTTGAGCCCAGCTCCCCTGGAGGAAGGACAAAACACCTGGCCATCCACCCTCCTCATCTGAGCCAGAACAGCTCAGGATCCAAGGTGAATTCTTTAAAATGAGACAATGGTGGCCAGTGCTTGGCAAGAGCCTGACTAATTAAGAGGGCATTAGTGTCATGGGCAGAGCCAGGCTCATGCCAAAATATCTCTGCCAGAAGAGGGGCCACTGGTTGATGCCAGGTCTTGGCCTTGCCTGCCTGGCAGTTACCCAAGCCTATCCCCTCAGAGACCTTCAGGGTTCCCCTTCTGGTGAGCTGGAGCCCATCTGTCCTTTGAAGTACCTGGACCTCAGACAACTCCCCCCTAAACTGGGGTGGCAAAGCCAGTTTCTAGAACCCTGCCTCATGGTTTTCCTAATCCAATAAACATTGAGCACTTGTCCCATGTTCAAGAGAGAAAAATAACCAGGCATGGTGGCACACACCTGTAATTCCAGCACCCTCATGCTGAGGCAGGAGAATTACGAAGAGTGAGGGTCTAAAGCTTCTCTATGCTTAAGAGTATTTCTGGCAGTGCAGTGGTGGTGCACACCTTTAATCCCACCTTTTATCTCCGAGTTTGAGCCCAACCTGGTCTACAGAGGGAGTTCCAGGACAGCAAGGACTACATGAAAAAAAACCTGTCTCGAAAAAAAAATAAAACAAAAAACAAACAAAAGCAGAACTGGTGGGTCTTGCAGAGGAGCCAAGCTCGGATCCCAGCTCCCACATCACAACCTCCTGTAACTGCAGATCCGGGAGACTTAAGACCCACCTGCTCTCCACAACCTGGTCGTCCTTTCTCAAGGCCTCCATGTGCAATTGCTGGAAGTCTGATCTCAGCCCAACCAGGCTGTGTCATCACCTGTGTTCACAGGAAAGTGCAGAGCAGGCAGGACAGCTGGGGTCCACCCTGGCAACTTCCCCGGGCTTCTAAGGGAACTCCCCTTTCTCCCTTGAGAGCTGAAATTGAGAAACAGAAAAGCCCAATTCTGTTGTCTAAACAGGAAGACAAGGGACTATAGCTAGAAACAAAAAAAGCCCCGGAATAGGGGATTCCCAGGATTGGGTAACTAGAATGTAGCCTAGAATAGTCTCTGTCTTTGTTATCCTCAGCAAATAGCTTTAAAGTCCTGGGATGACTTCCCAGATGCCAGACATCATATTTCCCTGACTATCTAAACCAGGCCCTTAAAAGTGTATATTTTATTTATTTATCATTTATTTTGTTTGGGTTTTTTGTGTGTGTATGTCGGAGGGTGGGATTTGAAACAGGATTTCTCTGTGTAACTTGCTTTGTAGACCAGGCTGGCCTCGAACCCACAGGGTGCAGGGATTAAAGTTGTATACCACCACTACCACAGACCACCACAGCTTGACGTTATTTATTGTTTTTTGAGACAAGGTCTCATGTAAGCCCAGGCTATGAAACTCACTCTGAGATCAAGACTAGCCTTGGACTTTTGTTTTTCAAGACAGGGTTTCTCTGTGTAGTCCTAGCTGTCCTGGAACTCACTCTATAGACCAGACTGGCCTCAAACTCACAGAGTTCTGCCTCCCAAGTGCTAGGATTAAAGGCATCTGCCACTACCAACCGGCTTGATTTGTTGTTTTATTTATTTATTGGTTTTTTGAGACAGGGTTTCTCTGTGTAGCTTTGGAGCCTATCCTGGCACTCGCTCTGGAGACCAGGCTGGCCTCGAACTCACAGAGATCTGCCTGCCTCTGCCTCCCCAGTGTTGGGATTAAAGTCATGCGCCACCAACGCCGGGCAATAGAGGACAATCTCTAGGAGTTAGTTTTCACCTTCAATCTTTTTCTCTTTTTGAGGTAGCATCTCTCTTGTTTCTGTTACTCTGGATGCTTCAGACTAGCCACCAGTGGGTCTTGGTGATCCTCCTGTCTGCCTCCCACCTCACTGTAGGCATTCTCGGATTACAGCTGTGCACCGTGGAATCCTACAGCTTTCCTACATGGCTCATATCCAGTTTCATATAGTGCTGGGGATCAAACCCAGACTGAGAACATGCTGCCAATTGAGTTACTACCCCAACCCTTAATTTTGTTTTCTCTGCGTGTGAGTGTATGTGTATACATGTAGAGATCAGAGGATGACTGCACCATCATTCCTCAGGTATGGAACTTGCCAAGTAGTAGTGTAGTCTAGTGGGCCAGTGAGTCTAAGTCCCAGAGATCCACTGGGTCTCTGCTTCTCCAGTGTGTGAGTATGAGTGTGTGTGTGTGGGGGGGGGGTGACTATGAGAGTGTGCGCATGTGTGTCTGTGAGTGTATGTGTGAGCATGTGTGCATGTGTGTGTGTAGACCAAAGGTTGACACCTCTGCATGTCCTGCTCAATTACTCTATTTTTAAAAGAATTATTTATGTATTTTTATGTGTGTGAGTCAGATCCCATTACAGATGGCTGTGAGCCACATGTGGTTGCTGGGAATTGAACTTAGTATCTCTGGAGGAGCAGCTAGTGCTCTTATCCACTGAGCCATCTCTTCAGCCCCCAATTACTCTCCATTTATTGAGCAGGGTCTCTTTGCTGAACCTGGAGCCCACTGACTGGACTAGCTAGCCTCCTTGCCTTGGGATGCCTTTGTCTCTACTCCCAAATGCTGGAATTACAAATGGGCCACCACAAGCATCTGTCATTTTATGTGGGTTCCGGGGACCCAAACCCATGTCCTCATGCTGTCATAAGCACTTTACCTACTGAGCCGCCTCTCCATCCCTGAATGTGCACACTTCTTTGTTTCTCTTTATTATTTTAGCATGTATTGAGATTTATTTATTTTATATGTGTGGGTGTCTTACTTGCATGGATGTCTGTGCACCACATGCCTGCCTGGTAGCTGAGAAGAACAGAAGAGGACACTGGACGTCTTAGAACTGAGTTAGAGCCAGGCATTGTGGCACACACCTTTAATCCCAGCACTTGGGAGGTAGAGGCAGGAAGATTACTATAAATTCAAGGCCAACCTAGTCTAAGAGTGAGTTCCAGGACAGCCAGGGCTACACAGAGAGACCCTGTCTTGAAAACCACAATAAAACAAAACTGGACTTACTATGGATGGTGGTGAACTGCCATGCATGTACCGGGAACTGAACCCATGTCCCCTAGAACTGCAGGAAACTGAACCCATGTCCCTAGAAAAGAGTAGCCAGTGCTCTCAACCGCTGAGCCATCTCTCCTACCCCAATATGTATGCATTAAAGACATCTAGGTGTGATGGTGCATGACAGTCATCCCAGTGCTCAAGAGGCTAGCCTGGGCTACACAGCAAGATCCTGTCTCCAATATATACACATGGGGAGCTGAGAGGATGGATCAGTGAGAAGACTCAGTGGGTAAGGGCGCTTGCTCTGAGAGCATGAAGACCTGAGTTCGAACTTCTAGCTCTCATGTATTTTTTGGTTTTTTGAGACAGGGTTTCTCTGTGTAGCTTTGGAGCCTATCCTGGCACTCGCTCTGGAGACCAGGCTGGCCTCAAACTCACAGAGATCCGCCTGCCTCTGCTTCCTGAGTGCTGGGATTAAAGGCGTGTGCCACCAACGCCCGGCTAGCTCTCATGTAAAATGCCAGGTGTATCTGTGTGTTCCTATAACCACAGCACGGGAAGATGGAGACAAGTGGATCCTGAGAGCTTGCTGCTCACACAACCTAGCTGAATCAATGAGCTTTAGCTCAGTGAGGGACCCTGTCTCAAGGCAATAAGGCAGAAAGTAATAGAGGAAGACACCCAAAGTTCTGCTCTGGCTGCCACATGCACATCCACAGGTGTGTGTACCCATACTCTTAGGTACATGGAACACACACACACACACACACACACACACACACACACACACACACCCCCCACACACACACACACACA